AGAAGTAATATGGGTGTGGCAAACATCTCAGAAGGGACCCTCAATCGTTTCTTGGAGTGTAAAGGCCAAGGGGGGAGAGATGCACTTTCAGACTTGCAAGATTCTGTTAATGAAACCTTACAATAGGATTAGAGGTACTACTTCTGGGGGTGCTTCTTGTGTGGGCTACCTGCAAGGTTGGAAATCCCTTCTACCAACAATACACCATGCCCTACCCTGCTGCCCATGATGATAAACCATGATTGTTCATGGTGCCCACATACTGACTCTCATCACAACAGGGAAAAGACAACAGTTATCTGTCTCCATGCTCTCTGGGATCATCAAGTGGTTTACTATCTCCATTTTCTACTTCTATGCCACGTACATATTATTAACCCCCAGAAAGGGAAAACTGTCATGTGGAACCAGAGATGTGAGAGTCATTTTCAGGACAGCATTAATTTAAAAGACTTCTGTCATGTCCAAATTCTAGTCAGAGTAGCATTTTCAAAGCAGATGTACAGTTATTCGTCTGACTATTATTATTAAGAGTAATAATTTTCTTCTATCTATTTCCTAATCCCAGTTTTATAGCCACCATGAAAAATAATGAAACAAGAATCAGTGAGTTCATACTTCTTGGCTTCACAGATGTCCGGAAACTGCAGCTCCTGTTCTTCTCCATCCTTTTCTTTTCCTACTTTCTGACAATTACGGGAAATGCTGTGATTATCGTTCTGGCAAATATAGACCACCGGCTCCACACCCCAATGTATTTCTTCCTCTGGAATTTCTCCATCTTGGAAATTGGTTTCACCAGCGTTGTCACCCCTCAAACCTTGTCACATTTACTAATGGGCAATAAAAATATTTCCTACGTTGGTTGCATGGTACAATTCTTCTTGTATCTCCATCTGGGAACTACAGAGTTCTTCCTCTTAGCTGTCATGTCCTATGATCGATACTTAGCCATCTGCAACCCCTTACACTACCCATCCATAGTGAGCAAGAGTTTGTGCACCTCCCTTGTTCTTGGTTGTTGGGTTGGAAGTTTTCTTCTCATCATTGGTCCATATTTGTTCTTATTACAGTTTCCAATGTGTGACTCAAACATCCTGGACCATTTTTTCTGTGACAACACACCATTGATGCACCTCCTTTGTGGGAATACCAGACTTCTTGAACTTTTGGGGTTCAACACTGCTGTTCTTTCATTGTTGGGGACTTTGACTATTTCAGTGGTTTCTTATATCAAGATAATTAAAACTGTCTTTAGCATTCCATCTGCTACAGGAAGAAAGAAAGCATTTTCCACTTGTGCCTCTCACTTCATTGTTGTCTCCATCACTTATGGGAGCTGCATCTTCCTTTATATCAGCCCAGCCCAGGGCAGCAAAGCCAAGTTCGGCAAAATAGTGGCCATCCTGAATACAATTGTTTCCCCTCTGCTCAATCCTTTCATTTACAGCTTGAGAAACAAACAAGTTCAGGAAGTTCCCCTCTGCTCAATCCTTTCATTTACAGCTTGAGAAACAAACAAGTTCAGGAAGTTCCCCTCTGCTCAATCCTTTCATTTACAGCTTGAGAAACAAACAAGTTCAGGAAGCCTTGAAAGATCTATTAAGACAGTTCAAAGCCACTGCTACATGTCCAGGGAAAACCTGAAAACTCCGTCCCTTCTGGACTTGGTGCATCTGACCTTTTGTTTGGAGGGCTGCCAAATAACCTGTTATTTGGTAGTTTTGGGTAGCATTTGATGTTGACAAAGCACTGTGGTTGAACCCACTAATTTCAGTGGATATCCTTGGAAGATCTCCAGCACAGAGTGGTCTGCAAGACGCGGTTTTAATTTTAAGTTACAGATAGGCATTGTCTGTTTTCTTTATCTGTTTCTTTTCCCTAAATCTAAAGAGTAGAGAGAGATTTTTTAAAAGTGGGGGTTGTGGAGAAAAGGTGAGCATTTCCTTGGAAGGCCTGAATGTTTTAATGGCCATGACCATGTTAGTGGTGAAAAGAGATGGAATGGAATGGTATTGAATCAGGTAATGGCTGATTAGCTGGCTGGACACGCAACAGAATCCCCCAGTATCCATGCTGAAGAAATCAAATGTTACCAAGATATGTAGAGATGAGATCTCACCCACAAATTCATCAGT